GAAACACGTACACGACAAGCCGTTTTTATTATTAGATGCTTGGACATTCGTAACCCGCATAGTTAGTTAGGTATGGATACATGCATAAGACAATATTTGCATAATATTCGTGGACCCTGATCGAAATTTAATCAGCTTATATACTTTCTCTTTCTAATTAGATTCATATAAAAGAAAGAAAAAAATTGGCTAAAAAGGAAAAAACCTCGAGCAAGAAAGAAAAAACATTTTCTTCTGCTTGAGGTAATTAAATCCATGCCTTGCAGTAGAATAGTCATAATCAAAAGTAGAAGCATTTTTCATAAAATTTTTTCAAAAGTTTATATGTCCTATTTTTGCAATCTTGAATACTTCTATTAAAGTACGGCAGATACATGCTTGAAGGTTGAGGTGGCTTGATCGAAAAGGGGTGCAAAAACAGCTAGGTTTTATACCTTATAGAACGATGTAAACAGGGTTTCAATATTTCCAGCCGAGTAATCCAGCGTAAAGTGTGAAAGATAGGATTTAAGCAGTAAGATTTTGGTTATATTAAAGTCATAATTAGCAAGCCAAAGATCAAACTAACTAAAATATATAATCCAATTCACCAACAGTCTGTCATTACAGTTTGGAGTGCAGTTGTATTAAAATAAATTACGACCAAATAATTAATTGAAAAACACGACAGCTCTTTCATATGTAGGCCGGTCCTTCCGCGTACTATTATTACGTACACAGTTCATATCGTCAACAATACCGATGGTCCGAGCTGTAACGCCTGCGTGCCTATATGGATGTCGGGGTTTCTTTCGTTCTATTTTAACCACTGGTCTTTGCTTAATAGCAATATATGTCATAAAATAGCGGAACTCCTCTAACGTGTGTAACGGCCGCGAACAAACCTTGGGTAGGGTGTCTGTCGGTCTGTGTCAACCGCAAGCGGAGCAATAACGGCATGCCGTTAGACAAAATCATGCGATTTTGTGGTACCGCTAGTAAATCGCATGATCTTGCGGTATATGTGTTTATTATTTTATTTTCTTTTTTTCTTTTCTGATCTCCTTATTCGCAAGTACAGTCAAAATCGTATGATTTTGCGGTACCATTGCTTGCTTTTGCAAGTACAGTCAAAATCGTATGATTTTGCGGTACCCTTTTTTTGCTTTTGCAAGTACAGGCAGAATCATATGATTTTGCGGTACTCCTCTTTTTTTCCTTTTGCTCTAGCAAGCATAGGCAAAATCGTATGATTTTGCGGGATCTATGTTTGCTCTTGTGAGAGTAACGGCAAGCCGTTATAGAGAGAGAGCAACAGGAAGAAGAAGAGGGAAATGAAGTGAAAAGGAGAAGTCTGTCTGCGTTTCAAAAATTAAAGTCAGGGGATAGAATTCTGAGTTGAAGTCAGTCGGCGTCAGGCACTCGCTGAGTGCGGTTCTTGTCGTTTTTTTATCCCTTGGTAGTGTTAAAGACATGAAATTTTTGTCTAATTGATAAAACGAGAAACAGCAAAG